TGTATGTATGTATGTATGTATGTATGTATGTATGTATGTATGTATGTATGTATGTATGTATGTATGTATGTATGTATGTATGCATGCATGCATGCATGCATGCATGCATGCATGCATGCATGCATGTATGTATCTTGACTCTGCAAGTAGTAAGTGTTGTTTTAAGTGTGAGATGGAAAAAGTACTTTTCAACTTTATGCAAAAAGTAACTTCCTTTATTACTTGACCAATTAAGTTTATTAGGGTTGTTACATAAAGAAAAAATAAAAAGTATGAGCCCATATTTGTATGCATGTTTTCATTGATCATTTGATAAAATAAAATATTCTTGTCACCATTGTTTATTTGACAAAATAAAATGTTAATTGTAGTTTAGAACGGTGTAATTTGTACTTTTTTAAGGAGGTGTAATTTGTGCTTTTTATTTCTCCATCAATTTTTAAATAAAATCATTTTAAAAGAAATGAGATTTTGCACGTTCTTCCAAATGGAAAGAATAAATTGAGACGGAGCCAAGGAGGGAGTATAAAATAATCATGTCACCTCTTATTTTGAATTTCTTTTACATAGTTTTAAAATATATAAACTTTATTTTTTTAATTTTACACATTCAATCAAATTAGTTTAATTAAAAATAAATTGGTCAAACATCGTAAACTGAAATGGGAAATTCGCTTAGGGACAGAGAGTAACATAAAAAGTTTGACCCAAGAAAAATATGACTTTTATAGTAAGTTTTTTTTAAATTTTAAAAAAGACAACATAGCTTTTTTATTATTAAATGCTTTTGTTTTTGTCTACGTAAACAATAACCGACGAAGTTAGAACTTATGCAAAGTGTAGAGTGAGCATGTAAACCTGTTGAGTTTCTTGAAGCAATGATGTGAATTACCAAATTTGGGAATATTGTTGTAGAATGTCATATTTTTGGGAGTACTCATATGAATTTTTCCTAAAGTTTACACTTCCATACTTTCCAATTAAGGAATGTAATATGTGGCTTTCGATGTTTCTCTCTTCTACACAAACTTTAACCACATCATTCACTTATCAACACTTTTTTTAAAACTCCGTGAAGTCGAAAGATAACTTTTGGGATGGAGGGTGCATTTCATACTAAGGAACATAATTTTGAAAAAATGTTACCTTTGTGGGTCAATCATGTTGGTTCGGGTTCGATCAGCTTTGACCCATTTTAGCATGTCATTTTGGGTTCGGTCATTTTAAGTTTCATTTAACAAAATCTTTGTTCAAACCCAATATTTTTGAGTCGGGTCTTGCAGAAATTTACTCCGAGATACCCTCAATTTTTTTGTAATAACTCTCAGATCCCACATTATCTGAAATATACTTTGGGGTACCCTCAAATTTCTTAGTAAGAACTCTCGGGTACCACTATCCGAAATATACTTAGGGGGTCTTTGAATTACTCCAAGGTACCCTCGATTTTCTGGTAATAACTCTCAGCCTCTCAGGTTCCACATTATCTGAAATATACTCTGGGGTATCCTGAATATTTTAGTAAGAACTCTCAGGTACCACATTATCTGAAATGTAGTCAGGCTGTCATTAAAATTAGTGGTAATGTACTCCGAGGGTACATTCCGTCTATTTGGCTGTTAGGATTAAAAGTTCCAGTAAAGGAACTTTCAATTTAAATTATTTTATTAATTTTACCTTGATAATCATTATTTTATTAAATTTAAATAAAATTCTTCAATTTGTCAAGTTAAAGGAACTTTCAATCTTAACGCTTAAATGGATGGAATGTACCATGAAAGTATAATATCACAAACCTTAAGGACCCAAGAGTATATTTAGGATAATGTGGGACCTGAAAGTTCTTACTAGAAAATCGAGGGTACCCCGGGCTATATATCAGATAATGTGGGACTTGGGAGTTATTACCAGAAAATCGAGGATACCCCGGAGTAATTTCTGCAGGTCTTAGGTCAAAAACATGTTAGACTATATTATTACTCCTCGTACGAAATCGATGTTGTGTCTAGATTGTTTGCTATAATGGGATCAATCTGCATTTTCGTTATTTTCTTTAATGAATAGTGATTGATAAGTTAAGAATCGCAGTGGCCTAGAGAATTTTTAGTGTTAAACATATACTTCCTTCGTTTTAAAATAGATGCAATGGTAAAAAATTACATTAATCACACATTCTCATTTGAATTATCTTTTGTTTCTATACGTAAGGAAAAATAATCATGTGAGATTTTCTTAGATTTGTCTCAATATGAACTTCCATAATATCAATTTTTTTTTTAGTTTTACTACAAAATAGTTGAAGATGTTAGTGGATAAGCTGCGGGATATTAAGTTGAGGTGGTTTGGGCACGTGAAGGTCGAAGGGTTGTGGCTCCGGTGCAGGGATGCGAGAGTCTTACGGTAGTCCATGATGGTGGGGGAAGGGGTAAACCTAAAAAGAATTGGAAGGAAGTGATTAGACAAGACTTATTTCTGGTCCATTGTGGGGATGGAGGGAGTATGTAATTCTGGTCATACTTTGTGCTCTATCTTTAGGTGCTTCTCTGCTTGTTGCAATACAAGCTGTTAAAAAAGGTGCAGCTGCAGAAGGAATGACAATTAGGGAATATGTATGGCGTGGCCATGACCCTACATCTGTTGCTGTTATGACAGAGGTGATATACTGAGAGCTCCTCAAAACAGTCTATATTAAAGAATAAAAAGTTTCCATGTATTGTTCTGTGGCTTTAAAAACATTCGCACTATAAGTCCCCGACTTTTGTTATTTCACTTTCGGTGGACAACTAGGATTTTTTGCCACTTTTGGTCATTCCGATTGCTTATATGGCCAATTACTTTGCAATTTATCAACGGAAATGATTAAAAGTGGCAAGAAAAATATTGCTGTGCACCAGAAGTAAAAAAAGAGATGAAAATCATGCTCAGAACTCAGAAGTGTAATTGTGTTACAATGATCTTGTGGTTTGTAGGATGGGGCTGCAGTTACAGGCCTAGCCATTGCTGCTGCTTCGTTGTATGCAGTGAATATAACAGGAAACCCAATATATGACCCCATAGGTTCCATCATTGTTGGCAATCTTCTTGGAATGGTATGTGAAACTGGACTTGTCTTGTTGTAAGTGCCTTTTTGGTAATGGTTACGTGGCTGAATGTGTTGATTATTTTGAAAGAAAAGGTGTCTGGTAACATGTATTTTAGTTAAATAAGTAAAATGCTACTCCCTCCGCCCCTTTTAAATCTACTCCTTAACTATTCATAGCATTAAACTATGTCTTCTTTACATATTTTGGTAAATTAATATAGTCATGTTACCTCTTGTTGTAGAACTTTTTTTGTAGTTTTTAAATATATAAGTTCTATTTTTAAATTTTACGCCAATATTTAAATAAATTAAAAATAACATTATTCTTATCAGCAAAATTAGGCAGAAAAGCCATCAAACAGAGCCCTCAATGTGCATCATTTTTTTTGGGTTGCGGAAACATTATGGGAAATGAAAATGCAGGTGGCTATATTTCTGATTCAGAGGAACCGTCATGCTTTGATTGGTAGAGCAATCGATGACCATGATATGGAGAGAGTTCTTCAGTTTTTGAAAAATGATCCCGTATGTCTTCTTCGGATCCCATCCATATGCATATATGTAACACCCTAACATTACCTTTACCCACCACACGCAATTCACTGTCACAGGTTGTTGATGCTGTATATGATTGCAAGAGCGAGGTGATTGGACCTGGATTTTTTAGATTCAAAGCAGAGATTGGTAAACCCCTCTGTTGTCTTCTTTTCTAGAATATGTATTGCTGCTCCATATTGATCTTGCATTCTCGAAACAGCATTTCTTATTCAATATGAACCATAAACTTTTAAAAAAAGTGTCTATCTTATGGATTTTCTCGAGTACCAATGTAAAATGGTGGTGCCTCACATATCAGATTTCAATGGGGTGGTGCTGGTGCAGAATTATCTAGAAAGAGCCGGACGCCAGGAGTGGGCGCGACAGGTAAAGTGCAGAGCTTCTAATTCTCTTTTTAAACAGAGGATATAAAAGTGTAGACTATGAGCCCGACAGCCCATTTGGTTGTATGAGAACAACTTTGTATAAGCATTCTTTACATGAATGAGTGACAAGCTAGTTTGAGTGACTTCTTTGACATTTTCAACTCAGTTCTCAAAAATGAGTTTTTTAAGAAAGTTGACAACTAAATCCGGACGGAGGGAGTATAATATAATGTTAGACCCACAAAAGTAGAAAACATAAATCTGTTTTAATGGGGGAGTCATTTGCACAAAAGTTCAAAGAATCACTTAAAAGCCAAATGCAGGAAAGCAGAAAACTTTTCCTTTTCATAGAAACAAACAGAGCCATCTACTTTTGATGAGCTAGCTATTGTCTCTTATTGCTATTGTGTTATTTACTATCCTTAGTTCCGGGAGGCTGCAAAGGAGATGGATGATACAACACTTCTCATGCTCATGTCAAATTATGGTAAACCACAGCGACAATTGCAGGGTTTTAATATTTAATCTAGAGGCGGACCATTCTCCATATAAAAAAAGCATTGTTTTTTCATAGTATTTCCGTGGCCTGCAGGTGAGGAGGTTGTGACAGCATTGGGAAGTGAAGTTGATCGCCTGGAAAAAGAGATCCAAGAAATAGTTCCCGGCATTAAGCATGTGGATATTGAGGCACATAACCCCATTTGAACACCCAAATTTTACTTGAGAGGTACGAGTAGTATAATCTTTTACTCACTTGCTTCCGGAATATTTTTTAAACACAAACAATCCTTTGATCACCTTTAGGGTTATATATGTTAAGAAATTATTGTTGCTCATCTAGTGTGAAATAGGATTCAGAAGAGTTTTTTTATGAATGCAGCATCTTCACTGTTGCTGTGCGTTTATTTTTTAAAATTCAACTAGGCGGAGAGAAAGATTGGAAAATGTTATGGATTTGAAAAAAGATCCCTTTAAAGTGATGGTGTGATCTACCTTGACGGATGATTTTCGCATTTTCTAAGCCTTCCCATACACGTTTCCTTGCCCCCCATGCACTATTTTTTGTAGCCTTATTTTAACGAGTACTTATACCATACATCTGGATGGATGTATGATATTTTTCGTACATCTACTTGATTATTCATATTCAAGTAAGAGTCTTCATTTTTGAGTAATTAAATATTCATTTTCGAGAATAACTAAGTTTTAGAAAAATGAGTATTTGGTTACTCCAAAATGAGTATTCAGTTGCTCAAAAATGAGCATTCAGTTGCTCGTAAATGAGTACAAACCGTGGATGTACATGAAATACCGTACAATCGGTTTTACGATATATATTGCGTGTTTTCACATATACGCAAACCTGTTTCTTGGCTGATAGCTCAGATATCTATGAATTGTTCATAATTTTAGGATTCCGTCGCTAGTTTTTTGTATTTTTGTTGCTTTTAAAAACAGCCCTATCCCCTTCAATAAGAAAAAAAGAAAAGCCCTATTTGAGAGATGATTATATATATACTGCATTTTTAACCCTGTGTCTATGTTTTTTTAGGATTCTTCAATACAATATTATTAAAAGATTGAATAAAATATATTTCTATTACAATCTACTCCATTTGTCCCAAAAAAATGTTCTGCAATTTCTTTTTCGCATGTCCTAAAAAGAGGTTCCATTTTTTCACTTTGGAAAAGTTTTATGGTTTATGTAATTTCTTTCTATACTATTTTTAATTAGGCAATTTCATTGGAACACAATATGACTAGACTTATTTGTTAGGTTAGTTTTACTCTGAGCCTCCCTTTTTTTGGAGTGATGCTTACATGGTCTCAAAGTTCACTTTTAAAAATTGAATCTTCTCACATTTTTAATTGGCTTATATGTGAATATTTTCTTTTATGAAAAAACTCACTTCTTTTATCTTACAAATGCACTAAGGTTCATATAATGAACATAAACCTTAGGTCTATAGAAGAATTTGTCTATTTGTTTAATGTTGCGCATTACCATGTTTGATTTAAATTATTTATAATTTATTTAATATGAAAATTGGTATGAAATAAAAAATAATTATTATATATTTAAAAACTAAATCCAAAAATCTACTTATAAAATTAATGTGACATAACTATATTATTTTATGAAATGGGCAATAGTCAAACAAAGTAAATATAGTTTGAGCTTCTAAATTTTACAATGTCTAAAATAAACCTAGACTTTTAAATTCTACACACTACACCGTGTGGATGGATCGCACCATCCCTTCCATCCCTTGCTAATAATCTCTTTTTAGGGTTGTAGATTCCTTACATTCCCTTTTTCTTTTTTTATATTTTTTTACATCTCTTTAAATTAAAATTACTTAAACTAAAATACTAAATTAATACTCCGTATTTGACTAATATTAAATTTAAAATTACATTGACATAGTGCAAAAAAGATGCGGACCTAAGCATTAAAAAGCAAAGGAAAAATTACGCAATAAAAAGAGAGAAGGAAAAAAATTATGTCATATAAAAAGGTACAATCAAAAAAGATTATTCGTTATCTTGAAGTGGTGGAGGACAATGATATTAACGTACTACGGAGTACATTTTAATAATATGAAAAAAATTAACATAATATAAAATATTGTGGGGTGAAAAGAAAATGTTAGGAATACCAATTCGATCTCTATTAGGAGCTCCTCTTGTACGCAGTCTAGACGCTTATGCGTTTTGTTTTTAGTGCGAAAGGATTTGAACCACCTGCGTCATTACGTTCATGAAAAGATTTGGGCTTCATCGGAATCGAAGGATGCCCACATAGTAATAAAGAGTGAAAGAATTAATATTTCAAAGTATGAAAAGTTGTGAAAGAAAGATGATGAAAATTCAAGAGAATAGTAGATAAGATGGATGAAACTTGTAAAGTTTGTGTGAATAAAACAAATTGAAACGAAGGATAAATAATAGAAAAAACAATAAGAATTTTTTTTAAAAGAGTGATTGCAACGGCTAGGGTGGGGGGATGGGATGACAGGGATGGGCAATCTCGCCTTTTCGACGGGTGATGGGGATGGGCGATCTCGCCTCTCACACCCTTAAGAAAAATATCTAAGTTAGAAGTAAAAGATAAAAAAAGTACCAAATTAGAGTCTTAAAAACAAAGAAACTGCTCGATAGTTTTGGCGATTAATGATCGGGGACCTGGTTTTGTGCTGTCCATATATATAATTCGTGATTTATTACTAAACTGCCATTGATATAGAAACCGCCTCCATGGATTTCAGACAACATAGTTGAGCGTCAGATTTGTCAATTGCAAACGAAATTGGGCCGTCCGATTAGAGCAAAAATTAGATCTCAACTTTAATTCTACTTTTATATATATAATAGATGTAAATTTCTTTACCCTTAAGTCTTATATTAGAATGTTAGTAATTCCATAAGAAGTATTTCATTTGTCTAGAAATAAATTGCTCAAACACTGTTCAAACGGTCAAATTTTATTCACTTTATTTAGGGAGAAATACGAAAATAGCACTCTAATAGCCTTATAATACTCAAAATAGCAGTGCTATTAGTTTTTGGGATGACTTTCTGATTTTGTCCTTAAATAAACACCCAAAAATGAATTATATTGAATTAGGTTAAGAAAAAGTAATTGGCGCTTCACACAATATCACCGAAGTAGACCTCACGCAGCCTCGTGAACGCTAATCATGTCACTGCAATGGAATTTTGGTGGTTTTAGAAAAAGGTTTTTTTTCCACTTAGGTTGGCAGTGTGTTTTTTTAAGGTGCACTGCAAAAACGTATGTGTTTCCCTTAGGTTCACTGTAGTGTGGTTTTTTTGAAGGTTGGCAGTGTTTTTTCATAAACGTAATGGTTTTTTTGGCTTTGTTGAAATCGTTTAGGGTTTTTTTTGTCAATGTTAGACGTAATTGATTGTTTTTTTTGGGTAAATGTTTCTTGGCAGTGTGTTTTTTGGGTTTTTTGTTCTTCACTGAAAGTAATTGTTTTTTTTGCTTTTGTGTTTGTGGCTGTGTGTTTTTTTGGGCATTGTTGTTTTTAACGGTTTCGTAACGGTTTTAACGATTTTTTTGTGAATGTTAGACGTAATTGATTGTATTTTTTGGTTTTTAATTTTTTGGCATTGTTTTTTTGGGTTTTTTGGTTCTCCACCGAAAGGTAATTGTTTTTTGTTTTGTGTTTTTTGCTGTGTGTTTTTTTGGGCAGTATTGTTTTTAACGGGTTCGTAACGGGTCTATAAATAAAGTATTCTCCCCTAAAAGAAAATAGTAGTTTTTGGATTCCAAGTTACAAAAGTGATCAAAATGACAAAGTTTTTTTGGTTTTTTTTGGATTCGGAGGTACAAAAGTGATATTTTGGATTTTTTGGATTCGTAGAAGCATTTGTTGTCAATGTGTTTTTTGGGTTTGTTTTTGGCTGTGTGTTTTTTTTTTTGGTTTTTTGGGTTTTATACTTGGGCAGTGGGGGGTTTTTTTTTGAACTATTGGCAGTGTGTTAAAATTGTTATTGACAGTGTGTTTTTTGTGAATTAATGGCAGTGGGTTTAGAGAAGAATAGGTAATTGATTAAAGCAGTGAATTTCTCCATTGTTTGGCAGTGGGTTTATATTGTTGTTTTGCATTGATGTTGAACTATTTGGCAGTGCATTTGAAATACAATGTAAGTTGTTCTTGGTTTTTTAAACACTGGAAACCTTCTTTTAGTTTATTTTTTGGTTAAATAAATTTTAGTTAAAGTTTGATTAATTTGGCTTAGTATAAGGGAAAATGTATTTCAATGAACTATGCATTATATTGTTTTAATCTTTCAGTGGTACAAATTTTGTCAAGTAATCTGTTTCATGCAAGTGTCGTTAGATGGATTTGTGAAGCTTACCTTGATGGTCTATTGTTGTTGTAGGATGCTGAAGTGGCCTCTAAAGGTGTTATGCAAGATGGGAGGATTAACACGTATTGTAACATGAATGAGGTCGCAAACTAGATAAAGAAAATTTTGACTACAGAAGAACTAGTTAGATTCAGAGAATCTCCGTTTGGATTTTTATAAGATGTTGCAGAGTTTCCATTGATTTGTTTTTTTGGTCTTTCATGATTTTGTACGAAGTTAGAATATGCCTTCAAGACATATATTGAATTTGATTTATGTGGTACTGAAAAGATATGGGTAATGGAAAGTATTATGTTGTCACTTTAAAGAATTTGTATGGAGCATACATTGCTACATTTTCATAGCACACTGACCAAAAATTATACGCAGATCACAACCATTCCATACTTCCAAAAATGTTTAAGCTTACAATGCACACTTTGTTTGATAAAGTTATATAAGGACTAGTGATTTCGGTGATTGTTTTATATCCACTATTTATGGAACTCCATGAATAATATATGATAGTGGGATTTTTATATATAAATCACATTCGACAAAAAGACACTAACCAAACATGGTTGTAGAGGACACTGCCAAAAATTGTTGATAGAAGTTGGCAGACCCCAATTCGGTTTAGAATGTGAAATTTAAATCTTTAAGTTCAATATACACTGCAATGTATATACTCTTCACTGCCACTTTATATATAAGTATGAAATTCTCTCCTCTTCACTGCCAAAATATGTTTGAGATTGAATTTAGTGCCCTAACACATATAACACTGCCAAAAAAAGAGCAGAATTCATTTTAGGCTGTGACATTTAATTATTTATGGTAATTATACACTGCAATATATACTCTCTACGCTGAATCTTATACATTGGCACATATACAATCTTCACTGCCACACTATAATAGAAGTCCTAGTTCACTGCCACATTTCACAAGAAATGTTACAAGAGTTAAAAAATGCAACTTGTACCATATTCACTTTTTGCAATTCGATCGTGCAAGTAGACAAAACAATATATATATATTAATTCAAAATTCAAATTATATTATAAGGAATACAATTATTATCTCTTGTCTCTTCTATGGATGTCATTATAACGCCATATTCCCGTCTCATGTCCTCACACAAGTCATTAGGAGGGTATGGTTTCTTGGTAGTGCCTACATGACGATGAAGGATTATATCAGCTACAAATGACGACGTTGCCTGTCTATGATCGCCTTCTCGAAAATCAACAAGGCAAGTATGGATTGAGTCAAACCTATAAAACAAAAAATGAAGGCAACAGGAATGAGAAAAAACAATTAGGCGTTTCTACTTTTTTACTTTTGATATGTTATTTGTTTTTTACTTTTGAAGCCACTGCATGTATATGCAAATACACTGCAAATGCACTGCCTAATTCAAAACCAAATTTTTTGGTACACTTAGGGGTGTAAACGGATATTAATCGGATCAGATGTGCCATTACCAAATCCGTATCCGTTTATTTTTGTCGGATATCGAATTTGGATACGGATCTTGACGGATACTGAAAATCAAAACCGTATCCGCATCCGTCGGATATTGGTCAGATATCGGATATATCCGTATCCGTTTCCAATTTTTAAAATCAAATTAAACAATACTTTAATTTTAAATTAGATTAAAGTCAAACTATTATTAAATCAATAATAATTTTTATGTGTCTGTATATATTTTTATGTGTCTACACATTTATTTTGTATATAAAAATGTCTTATATTTTGAAATATCAATAGAGAAACAAATTATAAACATAAAAAATTAGGAAAAACTATATATAACGGATCGGATATTCGGATAAACGGTTATTTAAACGGATGCATATTCGGATCGGATTTTAAACGGATCGGATATACAATTACCAAATCCGTATCCGTTTAGTAATCGGATATCCTTAATCGGATACGGATAATATCCGTTTAAAACGGATGCGGATATTTCCTTTTTAAACAGATACGGATGCGGACGGTAATCGGATTTTCGACTATCCGTTGACAGCCCTAGGTACACTGCCACAACATGTGTTTTCAAATTCACTGCCGAATTTGGGCAGTGTGCTCAACAAGCAATTAAGCAAGCTACTTCAGTTTATTAAACATATATGAGTACATCGCACAACACGCTTCCAACTACACTTCATTAATCTTAAATGGAGCAGCTTTGTTTTGACGTAGCTTCTTCTTCCCAGAATTTAAACAATTGAGCAAGCTACTTACTTTCTTTAAAGAACATGAACCCAGAAACAAAGTGTGTGAGCTAAACATATTCCCAATCTCATGTATAGGCATATCTATTTGAATGAGAAGATGGTAACAATTCCTTAAGTTCTAAAGAAACATCCCAGTTTGAACTTGTGGGAAATGAACAAACGTCATATATATCTTATCTTGATTGCATCCAAATTTCCACAAGAATCCCATAATTGAAACTACATTACGACCAGATCCCTCAAACAAAAGCCCTGGATTTTCACGTATTACTTTACCGAGTTGCTCTTTGCTGAAACTCAACTTCCTGAACAAGAGTAAGGCTTGGGATAAACAGTTCCATTCACAAGAGTTTTTTTAACATATACATCGCACAACACACTTCCAACTACACTTCATTAATCTTCAATGGAGCAGCTTTGTTTTTATTACAATTATGCTAATAAGTACTTAGACATAATTAAGACATTCAATACAAAGAAAAATAGGAAATAAATAAAACTAAAAATGAAGGACAAAATTTTAACATTTAATCTTCACACTGCCTACACCCTAAATTCACACTGCCTACACCTAACACCTACTCTTCACACTGCCAAATTCACAATGCCTTTCAAAACACCTAATTTTTTAAAAGGGGCAAATACTTGATATTCAAAAAATTAATTTCACAACACCTAATCTTCACACTGCCAAGTACAATTCATTAAACAGATAAATCGCACATCACACTCCTAACTTCACTTCATTAATCTTCAATGGAGAAGTTTTTGTTTTTAATAAAATTATGCTAAGCACGACATAATTAAAAAGAGGTTAAATACAAAGAAAACACAATAATTAAAACTAAAAATACAGGAAAATCCGAATAAAAGGATGAAGGAATGAAAAATAAAAATTGAAGGAGAAGAGAAAATGATTAGCGACATCGAAGAAGGAAGCATGGGAGAGAACCTGATTTATCCATTGCTTAGAGAGATGTGGTGATTGGTGATTGCCGCTGCTAATCGGCGAAGGAACCGCCGGCGAAGGAGGGAGGATGCAGAATCGCACGTAATGGGCGAGAAGGAGAGATCGTAGATTCGTAGGTGGTGTTTAATAACCTAATTTTAATGAAAAAATAAAAAGGGGTAAAGGGTATGATAGGAAAGGATTGACATCATAAATAGCTAAGTTTGTTAAAAACAATGGGTAGTACTAAATGCGTAATTTTGGGTGAGTTAAAGTGCTATGCAGGGTGATTTCTTCTTTATTTATTGTTTATTACTCATTTCATAATTCAAGATAGTAATGTCACATCTTGTTTTGAAAAACTTTTCATGCAATTTTTAAATATAAAACTTTATTTTACACTAAAAAAATTATTTAAAAATAAAGTCAATGAAGTCTCGTAAATCAGAATGAGAAATTTAATTTCGGACTGAGGAAGTATATCCTTACACTATATTTTATTCAAAGAATTTAAAAGGAAAAAAATAATAAAGAAATAATAATTTTTCTCTAACCGATTTTTGGCTTAAGAAGAAATTTAAAAAAAGTGAAATGGCAAGACTACTATTAAAGGAAATAAATTACTCGGCAACAAAAAAGAGAAAACAATTTTCCTAAAAAAAGAAAAGAAGAAAGTGATGGGAAATTCAAAAAAGGAAAGGAAAAATACTTCCTTTCTTCCACTTTTGGGGTTAATTTTTTAAAATTTAATCAACAAATTACAGAAAAAAAAATATCAAATTATGAATTTATGATATATATTTAATATCAATAGATTTATTTTATTTTAAAATATTATATTTTTCATAGACATATATATACTATCACCGCTTCAGAATATTTGTCCAATTTTGACTTTTTTTAGTTAATCATTTTGAATATTTGACTTATAATTAAATAAAATATATATTGTATATTAATTAGATAAAATAATATTTTATATGATAAATCTAATAAGTTTATTAGTTTTGAGTGAAAAAAATTTAAAAGTGGATAAATACTTCAGAGTAAGTATATCATATCATAAATCATAAATATAGATATTTATGACTAAAATGTAAAGTTCTTTTTTTAGGGAAAGTGTAAAGTTGATGGCACAAGAGAATAATTGACCGAGAGAAAATGCATGGGTGCGGGAGTCGATCAATTCAATCCCGCGAAGCTTCACGGAAACTTACCATGCATGATTCTCACCGGCTCCACTAGCTTAGCTTCTACAATCCAGTGAAGTGGTAAAGCTCTCTACTCTTTATTATAAAGGTGTTAATGCCTAACGGTTAGCCGCTCTATCGGATCCAAAACCACGATTACCGACCCGAAAATCTGTCGGAGAGAGCATATTGTCCAATTTGGTGGATTTTTTGAAAAAAATTCTGTGACGGGAAAGTGTGATTCAAATTGAGGAGGAGAAATTCGAACCCTAGGAAGGCGATTTCCTGATTTTGCGCTTGTCCGGCCACGTTTCGCAAATTGCAAAAGATGGGATCGATATCAGGAAAGCCCTTATCATTCTGCCTCAATGCCTCCGGATTTCGTTTATATGCAACCTCGGACGTGCTATTATTCCGGCGGTGGTGAGCATTCCTCCTTTTCCTTTCGTTCCCTTTCTGTTTTCAGCGGAAGGCGGTGGCTCCGTTGAAGCGGCGCTGCCATCTCTCTAACGGTTCTCAGACGGAAGGCGGCGTCGCGATGACATCATCTGGAGGAGGAGGAGGCCGAGAGGATGGTGTGAATTCGCTATCGCAAGCCGTTTCATCTTCAATTCAGCCACACGATGATGAGCGCGACATCGAGGCTGGCAATGCCTGTGTTGCCGGCGACGAAGACTCTTTCTCAGATCCTTTCGATATTGGGAGTACCAAAAAGGCGTCCTTCGAGGCTCTCAAACGATGGAGGGTAAGGCCTCTGATATGTCTGATAGGTTTATTGTTTTTTTAATGCTAGACGACTTTATTGATAATGATCGTAATACATTGCTTCCTCTGGCAATCAATTAAGTTGTTGCTTTATCTCTCCGTGTTCTGTGTCTTCAATTTCATTGTCTAATGTGTTTGTTATCTATCTTTTGAACAATGGAAACGTGGTGTTTAGATTGCTAATCTTGATCTATCCATCAATTTTGCCATCAGTGCTGGCCAGGAATCTGTGCTGGATAAATCAAAACTATCAATTCCACTATACCTTAATTCACCCAACTTACATGCTTTTCACCCTGAATCGTTGTTAAGCCTCACACCATCCATGGATCATGAGACCATGACATTAGTCTTGTTAGAAGTGTTTGCTCTTTTCCCATCATCTTTTACAAATATGATGTGTGCTGCATATTCTAGCAAAGCCAAAGGTGAGCCCATCTGGTTCTCCCAATTTCGATCCATGACTTTAGACTGATTATTAAATTTATTTCCCACTTGGGTCTTTTTAGTATCAAATTATGAGCCCTGAAGTACTCAGTTAACTGACTAAACATCTGGCCTGACTCTTTTACAACATGAAGGAATAGTGGTTCAGCTTGTGCATCATTCTCTTTCGTCAAATTTTTCTATTTACTGTTGTTGATGTTTTTAAATATTTCATCATACAGTTGCACATAACCACATACGTAGTACAACACACCTCTGCACAATGAGTGTGCTTAAACATAAAGTTTCAGATGTCCTTCTATAGGTTTGCTATTATGAGGTCTCCTTTTATGAGTTTATCCTTCTGATATCATTGTAAAACAGCAAGCTGCACTTGTTCTCAACGCTTCACGCCGATTTCGCTATACCTTGGACTTGAAAAAGGTAGAACATAAAGATCAGAGAAGAAGAATGATTAGAGCGCATGCCCAAGTCATAAGGGTAACATTAAATTCTATCTGTACCGCAGTTAGTTTTTCACATCAATCAACTTCTAATATTGATTGGTTTCTCTTATAGGCTGCAATGCTTTTCAAATTGGCTGGTCAAAGGGCAATTGGTATGTATTATACAAACACCCCTTCTCTAAGTCTACAGAAAAATTTAATTAATTGGTTCAACCTTGGAAATTATTATACAGTTGTATGACTTGTGTCCATCAAGGCTTGAGTTATGGTTATTAGAGTGAAAATAAAAACTTACAAAAACATCCATTTTTATTTTAGATTTGTTGATAAATTTTAAATCGTAGAAAATAACAAACAGCATTTTGTGAACGTTTCACCCAACTGAACAGAGAAGCACACTTAGCCGTTGTTGTACCAGCCTTCTTATTTTAAGAACTTTTTTTTAAAAAAATCTTCCTTAGTGAAGATGTTAGTGTGTATCAAATCGGTATGATAGAGATATTTTATTTTCAGAAGAGCTCTTTTTGTTTATCTGTATATGCATGGCACTCTACAATGTGCATTCATATTGTTGATATGATTCTGATATTGCTTCACAGTTTAGTTTTTGGATAGGATGATGTTATTTGTACTTGGTTGGCCATGTGCCTCACTTGTCTCTGTTGTTTGCAGTATATTTTCAAGGAACAATTGGTTAGGACTAAAGGGAAGAAAGATTGTTTTTTTTCTTTTGAAATCCTTAAGGGAGATAATATTTCGTTGTTTGGGTATAAAAATGCACTTGTGGTACCTTATGGGTTGTTGTTGCTGGTATAAAAACTTAAAATGCACAGTGCACTTAATTGTTTCAACTTTCAAGTGCTAAAATATTTGAAATGAGATTGGTTATGTATCAGATATTAAAGTAATTTAATTGTATCCATGTCTGATGTTTGTGGTGCTTGGTTTTATTTTATTTATTGACCTAGTATCTTTATTAAATTCATCTTTGAACCTTTATATCAATATATTTATTAAATTTTCTAGGATTTTATATGTGCTAATGTGTGATTTATATTTGTTTGGTTACTTGTTAGTATTGGGAACCTCAGCAACTCCTCCAGCTCCAAGTGGCGATTATGGAATTGGGGTTGAGCAGTTAGTTTCAATTACAAGGGATCATAATCTTTCTGTCCTGCAACAAAGTGGAGGGGTAAGTCAAGTTCAATTCTATTTCCTATTACCATTTAAGGACCTACATCTCTCTTTACCGTTAGAATTAAGATGTACTGATAGCAGCCTTCACTTTCGTAATCAGGTCAAAGGCTTAGCAGAAAAGTTAAAAACAAATCTCGACACTGGTATCATTGGGGATGAAGATGAAATATCAAAGCGGAGCAGTATATTTGGATCAAACACATATCCTACCAAAAAAGGCCGCAGTTTTTGGGTATTACTTGTAGTCCAAGTAGTCTTATTGTTTATTTTACGGATGCTTGGATGTTACCACTTTCCCCTAACACTGTTTCTTTAAACTTCTGGAAGAGGTTCCTCTGGGAGGCTTGGCAAGATTTAACCCTCATCATCTTAATAATAGCTGCGGTTGCTTCATTGGGGCTTGGAATAAAAACAGAAGTATGTGTACATTTCTTGTAGTTTACTTTGGTGTTTAGAAACCCACAAAGATTCCAGTGAAGTTGTATAAGGACTGCTAACCCCTATCATTACCTCCGAACTCCTAAGTTTTGTTAAGTTTTCAAATATCTCCTTGTTGTTAAGCATATATAACAGTTCATGGGCATACAGTTAAACAAACCCCTTTATTTATTTTAAGTGATGTACTTTTGATCTTTGGTTTCCATCATCTCCGATGGAGCCAAAATTTCACCTGTTTTTTGCTTTGGAGTGTGATGGAATAAATCAAAATGGATATCTAAACTATTTGCGCTTCTTTAATTAATGAAGTAGCAGTTAGTCAAGCAATGCAACTTTCGACGTTGAGCCGGGGGTCTCTTTGGAAACAGCCTCTCTACTTTCGAGTAGGGGCAAGGTCTGCGTACACACACCCTCCCCAGACCCTACTCTTGTGGGATTTAACTGGGTTGTTGTTGTTGTTGTTGTACTTTTGATCTTTGCAGGGTCTTTCAACAGGATGGTACGATGGTGGTAGCATTTTTTTTGCTGTTTTTCTTGTTATTTTTGTAACAGGTAAATAGTTTGGTGTTACCTTTTGTCTATATAATAACAAGAAACCATAGTTATTTGGACACTATTCATTTCATATATGACAACCTTAGTTTTCTCTGCATTGTTCCCCACTGTAGTTGTCTTTCATGACTACTTTATGACCACTCCCTTTTTACTTAATATGACTGTCGAGTGGAATATAAGTGTACTTTTGGATCAATAAGAAACCATTGAACATTTAATGTCTATCCATGTTCAGATGTAATCTAAATCTATTTAGTTTTGAATTAGTGTTCATATTTGAACTATTAATGTTGACTTCACATTTTCAGTTAACTAAAGTGCTGCATGTGATACTTCAGTTTATTGAATTAGCCAGCAGTGACCTGATGGGAATTATTTTTGCCCTATTCAGGATATTATACGCATGAATACAGAAAATTAATGACACAAGAATACACTATTTTTAACGTGGTTTGGTTTCTCAATAAATCTACATCCACATTCCACAATTGGAACTTGATCACACAGTGCAATTTTGAACTCACAAATTGTAAAACCTTTTCACAAAGTGTCACACAAGTAATTTTGGAGCACACTCTCAAGAAAGTTACTCATTGAAATTGGTGTGGAGCTCTCCTCCTCAACACACGGTTTTCCGTCTTTCCTCTCTAGCTTGAAAACTCAAGCATATTTCAAATGAGAAGATCTACTCCTTTATTTATAGGAAAAACTTTTCTTCAGTGCCACGGTTCCAACTCACATACAGCACATATATACTTTCGTTCTTTCATTTTGAGCTTTCATTTTTTGAACTCTTTTTACTTAATAAGAAAAAAATGACATATGTGGGCCTTCCATTTGGAGGGACCTACTCACTATGACTTCTCTGTTATTGACATGGTGTTGTAGGCTCTCTTGTATAGACTACTACAAGCTTGAATAGAGACTGGTCATGTTGAGTAGGTCCCTCTGCTTGAACTCCTTAGAGCTACTTTATGTGATTTTTGTGTGACCTACCGAACATTTCCTGAATGAGTTTACTGATTCATCCTACTGTTACTTATAATCATATGCTTTTAGATGTAGGTCAAATATTGTTAATAAATTTTATATATCATATCAGAAACATCATACTTGTATACTTATTTTAAAAACTTGTATTCATTAAACTCTGTAAACCCCCTGGCATGCCGTTGCTAAATGCATGATCTTTCTGATGGTTTACTCTTTGTTATGGCCTCTAAGATTTGTGTTCCATATGAGTTCTATTTTCTTCACTGATATGTTTGTTCTTTGTGTTGTACTTTATTTAGCAACAAGTGACTACCGTCAATCTCTCCAGTTCCAAACCTTAAATGAGGAAAAGAAAAATATCCAAGTCGAGGTACTTTGAAGTCATTTCAAAAGTGTCTCTTTCATGATCTATTATTCTATTATTTTTGTTATCGTTTAAAGATTACTATTATTCTGTTGTAACACATGCATGTGTTTAAACCATATGAAGGTTATTAGAGGTGGCAGGCGTGAAAAGATGTCAATATATGGATTAGTTGTTGGGGATATTGTACCTCTTAAGATAGGTGATCAGGTGTGCAAGATGATTTCTGTTCACTTTCTGAATGTTATCATATATCGTAGTTGGATCTGATACATTGAGTTCTCCTCCAGGTTCCTGCTGATGGAATCCTAGTAAGTGGTCATTCCTTGTCCATTGACGAATCCAGCATGACCGGAGAAAGCAAGCTTGTAAGTAAAGTAAAGTAAATAAGTTTAGGACTATTGATCAATTTGATTATAAGTAAAGTAAATAAGTTTCTGTGTATTCGCAGATGCAAAAACATTCAAAGTCACCTTTCTTGATGGCTGGCTGCAAGGTAGCTGACGGGGAAGGAAAAATGCTGGTAACATATTCATCATCAATATTTTGCAAACAAACACAATTTGATATGCATATAAGCCTATTTATACATGCATGGAGCATATTTGTTTCCCAAGTCTTTATTTTAAGTATTAAACTTGTTATAGAATATAGGGTTTTGGACATTCAGCTTACTGTTCTCTGTGGATATAAATTAAAAATGTTCAAGTTTCTATTCAAATTATTTTACAACATTCTATTCTGAGAAGGCTTTTTTGCCTGAGCTCTTACTAATTTATGTGTATTTTACTAACTTCTGTCACCTCTTATTCACATTTTTATGGATAATAAATATTTTATTTGTCAAGTTAATTTGTTGCACGGTAGAACTATTAACATGTTTTGAGCTTGAAGCTTGTTACACTTGTATGGCTATGTATTGTGAATTCATGATTAATTAAGAGCATCCATAATGTTATATTGGAAAAGAGTATGACAATTTCCCATCAAACTTAGCCAAGGTATGTGGTTTTAGGTAACTGGTGTTGGAATAAATACTGAATGGGGGTTATTAATGGCAAGTATATCAGAGGATACTGGTGAAGAGACCCCGTTGCAGGTAACTATTGTGTTGAAGCTTTGTAGGATTTGTAGACAATATTTGTCATTCTTTAGATTTCAATTATAAATGGCAGGTGAGGTTGAACGGGGTTGCAACTTTTATAGGCATTGTGGGCCTTGCTGTGGCACTCACTGTACTAGTTGTTCTTTTGGTTAGGTAAATACATTACAATATGACATAGTTTGGTCACCACTTTTCCCAATATTTTATCAAATGTACTTCATGTTCTACAGATTTTTCACCGGGACTACCAAAAATCCTGACGGAACTTCCCAGTTTGTCAGTGGAAAGACTAGCATTAGTGAAATCGTTAATGGTGTCATACACATCATAACTGCTGCAGTAAGTTCTATCTTATGGAGTAACTTTACACCCGCATTTTATATGTTCATTTAACTGACATTAAGTTTTCTCTAGGTTACCATTGTTGTTGTTGCAGTCCCGGAAGGTCTCCCATTGGCTGTTACTCTGACGTTAGTACTACATCCCTATCATATACAAACCAACTGCTTATTAAAATTATTATATGCCTTTGTGACCTACTTTAATCATTTCTCAAACTTCTGGCAGCTTAGCATATTCAATGAAGAAAATGATGGCTGACAAGGCCTTGGTATGTTTCTATTTCCTTGATCAATTTGAATTTTTATATATGAAACTGTTATTGTACTATTTTGGCATATACTTAATAGAAAAAGTCATTGTAGGTGCGTAGACTCTCTGCTTGTGAAACTATGGGCTCTGCGACGACTATATGCAGTGATAAGACAGGCACACTGACTCTGAATCAGGTAGTTTTCTATGAAGTCTATGTTTTTCCTCTTCAAAGTAAAATTTTGAGCTACTATTTTTCTGTTCAGCTATTTTGAGTAAGTCATAAATGTTGTATATTATGATGTGCTCTCAAAATGCAGATGGCTGTAGTTGATGCCTTTGTGGGGAAAAAGAAGATGGATCCACCTGAAGATGGATCCCAGTTACACTCAGTTGTTTCATCTTTAATACATGAGGGTATAGCACTGAATACAGCAGGCAGTGTTTTTTCATCTAAGGTATATTTTCTTTGTCATGTCTCACATCTGTTTCCCTTCTATTTGTATTGTGAACATATGTGCCTGTAGGCACCAAGCTGAGAAAAACGGCCGTGCTTTCTCATAGCATTTGTTCTGCAAGTCTATAATGGTTAATATCTAGAGAAAGTGTGTGAAATGTAAAGCAGTAAACACGAAAACTACATTTACATTTTCATATTAGGACGATACTCGTTGGGGCCCCTCATAATTTTCCCAGCTCTACAGTCCACAGCAAAATGAATTTCAACTCAGTTCTTTTGCCTTGACAAGTCTACTGATCCCACTGTCTTTGCCACTGTTTATTAGTTTATCCTCGTGTCATTTTTCTCTGACTTATATTTCTTATGCTATTCTCTTTCGCCTTTATGTTCCCTCATTAACAGGATGTCGGTGGAACAGAGGTTTCCGGATCTCCTACAGAGAAGGCAATTCTGACTTGGGGTGTTAAGGTGTTGTCTCTGAAATTATTGAGTCTATAATCATGCAACCTATTGGTTACTCATATTTTCTATCTAAATTTCAGTTAGGGATGAAGTTTGATGTTGTTAGTTCAGAATGTGTAGTACTTCATGTTTCTCCTTTCAACTCTACAAAAAAGCGAGGGGGTGCTGCAGTTAGAGGACTGGTAATTGGATCTCTCCTGAATTTTAGGTTTTTTAGCTTGTAATGCATTCTGTACAAGTTTTTCAAAATAAAATTTCCAAAGTCATAAATGGAGATCTGGGAATGAAATCAACAAGCAAGGCATTTTGTGTTGTATGAGTGAAGTTTCTTTAAAACTTTAAATGGGTTCTCTTTTCTTGTAAGTTGAAATGTTTTGAACTTTCTCTTTTTGTAGTAGCATTCCATAAAGTATTTAAAACGCATTTTGGCGCAGATACTTATTTTGAAGAGATACCAGATTGATGGTGTAATATTAAAGTTGGAGTGCATACCCTTGTTCTTTTACTCAGATTATCTGCTTTAAATTCTTTTTCCTATAGTAAATGGAGTAATCATATTCATCCTGTTTTTTAGGTCTTGCGTGAAAAATAATTAAAATCTCAAGCAAATTTTCTCTCAGAAACTATGACTGATAGACCATCTACAAACATACTATAAAATGTATTATTTCCTGTTTGACTTTTCTGGTCACTTTCACATTCCGTTTATTGGCAGAGTAACTCTCAAGTCCATGCACATTGGAAGGGAGCAGCAGAAATCATTTTAGAGTCATGCACTTGGTACTACGATTCAAATGGTTGCTTGCAGTCCATTGAGAATGAGAAGGTCTGTAGTTATATTACATTATTACCCGACAGGTTTACCACAAATTGGCAATGAAATTGAACCCACTTACTTGAGGAATCTCATAGAGATTTTAGTTTTGAAACATTATTAATAGTCATGAAAATGAGGATTTAGTATACTTAGCATGATTATTTACTCTCTCATTGAGTCCTCTTTTTAAGTGTATAGAGTTATTACATTTTAAGGGTTTTCAAAAATTATATTTTCAGGGTTTTTTCAAGGAGGCTATTGAAGATATGGCATCAAGAAGTTTGAGGTGTGTTGCAATTGCCTATAGAACTTGTGACGCAGAAAAGGTTCCAACAGATGAAGAACAACTCTCACAATGGGATTTGCCTGAACAAGATCTTGTTTTGCTTGCAATTGTTGGCATAAAGGTATGCATTTGAATGGCTGGTTATATTTTGCCTGCTTACCTTTCACCCCCTTTTTGTGTTAGCATCTCTCTTGTTTAGATAGGTGTTTATTTAATATTTCTCTTGTTGTGCGCTTCTTCGCTGAACATTTCATATTATAGGATAATATGTCTCTATTGAATTGTACAGGATCCTTGTCGCCCTGGAGTCAGAGATGCAGTTAGACTCTGCACAGATGCTGGTGTTAAGGTACTAAAAAATTTGAAATCAACAATGTAGTGAATCAAAGTATGATTGGAAATGATAAGAAATAATGGAAAAACGTATGGTAAGGGTAATTTTTCGTCTCGTCCGAATGGCTATAACTTTCTGAAAGGAAACACATGTGATAACATAAATATCAGCCAAATAAGGAAAGAGCCTGCTTATCACGCTTGTTCTCATTAGTTTTGTAGTTCTGATAAGCAGAAAATCCATGTTTGGATACGGAATGGATCCCTAATGAATAGAAGTTTGAAACGGTGTGATCTATTATGGTGGTAAATCTGCACATTTAGTGATAAGACAGTCCCCATTGCAATTGCAGTTCAGATGTAGATGAGCTATGTTATGGTTATATTTAAATTACAATCTTATGTGAAGGATTAGATGGTGAATGGTGATGACTCTTTACACGAACCTTTAGGTGCGCATGGTTACCGGAGATAATATTCAAACAGCTAAAGCAATAGCTTTGGAGTGTGGGATTTTATCTCCTGATGCAGATATTACTGGGGATGATGTAATTGAAGGGAAGACATTCCGTGAGTTGCCTGAAAAGGAGCGAGAAAAAGTTGCAAAGAGGATTTCGGTTAGTTATTCAATCCATAAATTTGTATAGTCTCAGACCCAATCATGCTCAAGGAACTAGTCTGTCTTCACCTGAATAAATCCTTAATATAAATCTACTCAATTCTTAGGTCATGGGAAGGTCATCCCCTAGTGACAAGCTTTTACTTGTGCAAACACTGCGTAAACAAGGAGAAGTTGTTGCTGTTACTGGAGATGGAACCAATGATGCTCCAGCACTACACGAGGTTAGTTTCCCTTTTTTGTTTTCTTGCTGATCTCTTCTTAAGGAATGTGAGAGTCTGAGTTGCTGTTGACTTAGTAGGTTAGTTTCCTATTTAATCAGGAGCTCTTAGAGCTTGGATCACACTACATTGAGTCTTAGTTCACACAGTCATTCTTTTTGTTATTTACATGGGTGTTTTACCCAGTTTAACTCATTAAAAACTAATTCGTATCTTTTTTATTTGCACAAATTTGTTTGTAACATCAAATATGCGATCTTAATATTCAATTTTTTTTCTTTAAAGATGTAATGATTTTGTGTTTTCTTTGATTTTAATTGTGAATATTTTTAAAAATGGTTTTGTGTGTGTCAAAATGCAGTTCGCTTGTAAAGTTCAAACACATGACTGACATTTTTGTTGAAAAAGTGTGTCAATTTTGTGTCTGAGCTATTGTGCTATCATATTTATCCTGTCAAGAGTGATATAGTTTGAAATGGATAGACTTTGCGTACACTTTCCGCTCTTTTCTATGTTTTAACAGTATTGCATTAGCTATAATTACTGCTGTATAAATGTTTATACTCTATTCATCTTGGAAACAGTCTCTCTACTATCAAGTAGGGGTAAGGTCTGGGTACATACACCCTCCCTAGACCCTACTTTCGTGGGATTATTCTGGGTTGTTGTTGTTCTTGCACATCTTGCGGGGATTTTATATCCTTTTCCTTTCAATGTGTAGGCTGATATAGGTCTTGCTATGGGCATCCAAGGGACTGAAGTTGCAAAAGAAAGTTCAGACATCATCATTCTTGACGATAATTTTGCTTCAGTAGTCAAGGTTGGTAAATACCTTAAAGGTTTGAATAGAAGTTCATGTCCTAGTTATCTGGGTGTGACTGAAGAAATATCAAGGTGACCATGGACGTTTAAAAAAAACATGAATGTAGGTTGTACGTTGGGGTCGTTCTGTTTATGCAAATATTCAGAAATTCATCCAGTTCCAGCTCACAGTCAATGTTGCAGCTCTTGTTATTAATGTTATAGCCGCAATTTCATCTGGAGACGTTCCTTTAAATACAGTGCAGGTCTTCCTCTTTTTTTATCTCTCAACCTCTTTTATCAATAAAAGAGAAACAGTGCGCCTTTTACCCATCTTTTGTTGTGTTTTTTTTTGGTATTTTGCCCCTTTATTTTTTTTCCAGCTTCTTTGGGTGAATCTTATAATGGATACTCTGGGAGCATTGGCACTGGCTACTGAACCTCCAACTGACCATCTGATGCATAGACATCCTGTTGGTCGAAGGCAAAGATACAACTTTCATATTTGTTTTTTCAAAGACTTTTTTTTACGACTTTTTGCTTACAAATATGTCTTGCAGGGAGCCGTTGGTAACCAATATTATGTGGAGGAACTTGATTATTCAGGTCAATGGCCTTCAATCCTTCATTTTTTCTGCATCCCTTTTGTTAAGTTTTTTTTTTTGTAAAGAAAATAATATACCCTGGACACTTTTTTTGATCCATTTGGCATTGGGCAGGCTTTCTACCAAATTGGTGTCCTCCTGGTTATAAACTTTTGTGGCAAGAGTCTTCTCAACTTGGAGCAGGATGGAGCCGAACATGCTAACATGGTGAAGAATACCTTAGTCTTCAATACCTTCGTTCTCTGCCAAGTAAGTCCATCCTTAACCTAAACTCCAAAAGGAAATTACTAATTCAGTCACCATGGAAGATGTTAAATTAGGGGAGTTAGTAGCCTCTGCTTCCTCGCCTAACTTGTTGCATTTCAGATATTCAATGAGTTTAATGCTAGAAAGCCCGATCAAATGGATGTCTTTGAAGGCGTGACGAAAAACCCTCTCTTCGTTGGGATTGTGGGATCTACTTTTATACTCCAGGTCAGATCTTGTCTTCTTCTTTTTTTTAAGTATTTGCCTCTGCTATGTGTGTGTGTGTTTGGGGCAAGAGGTGCAACTCTATCATCTCTCTCTCCTTTTTTCCCTTTTGTGTTTTTTTATGGTGTCAAATTAACAACATTGTTTTTTGCGTGTTTGCTTTTTGGAGACAGATTGTGATGATTGAGTTCCTTGGAAAGTTCACTTCAACTGTCAGACTCAATTTCAAACTTTGGTTGATTTCCCTCGTCATTGGGGTTTTGAGGTAAGTAGTACTCCATTATATACTCCCCTGGACCTATTTATAAGTGTGTTCTAGAAGAATGTTTTTATCCTTTACACAAGAGATTTTGATGGTTTTGAGGTGAGTAGAAAAATTTCTTCCCAAAATACCTCTGTTCTTTAAAGCTTTAGAAGTCATCTTTTTATGTCTTTTCTCCCTTTAGGGGTAAATTTGGGTAATTTATAAATTTATGTTAAAGCTCTTACTCCTTACTTCATAACAAGTTTTCTTTGTATTGTTGAAGTTGGTAAAAATACTTGCTAAATAGAAATAAAGAGAGTATATTCGATGTGCAACTCCCATTTCATCATTATTAATAGAAGGTAAGGAGTAATAACTAACATCGTATGCATTAAAAAAATCTGGTGCAGCTGGCCGCTTGCGATGCTAGGCAAAATGATTCCAGTTCCCAAGACCCCATTGGCAAAGGTGTTCATCAAATCCTATCGCCGATGCATTGCAGCTCGTGATACTCCTCAATAGTTGGTGTAATCGGTAAAGTTTGTTGCTTATGTATATGGCCGTGACACTAGCTTAACTATATAGTTGGACTCCAATACTAAAAAAAAGGACTGAAAAGACTAAAGAAAATACACACTTTATATAGTGCGCCAACATCTTCAATAGGCATTGCACATCTATACATGTTTTCTGTTCTTTTTTCTTAATGTAAAAAAACATAAGCATCATAAGTGTAAATGGAACGTTCTTTATAAGTATATTCTCAGCCTGTTTTGTTATTTTGTTCATTGGCATTGAAGCTGAAAATGTCATTTTTGACTATTTTAGGGTTGTAGCTTCGAATAAATAATAGACGAAACCAAAATGACACGTTAAATCTTTCTTCTTTCTATGAATTTTTGAACAAGAGTAGCATAAACTGCTTTTCTGTGAAGTTGGAATTTACGGTTTATACCAGCTTGTATTTGTGGGTTTAGTCGAGTGCTCTGCTATATATATACCCACTTCATTTTGAATCGTACACATGATTATAGCTTTATATAGTTAGTCCTATACCAACTATACGGCTTATGTCACCTTCGTATCTATTGCCAGGGGGTAGGGGGAGTTGAGTAATTTTGCACTCTTAGATAATAAAAAATCCAAGGGTGGAGATCTCCTTTGAAAAATATGCTGTTCAAATTGGCCCAACTGCATCTGACCTGGAAGGATCAAAGGAGATCCTACACCCTTAGTTGAAAATCTAAAGGTGCAAAATCGGTGGAGTAATGATAGGGACACGAAATGAATAATGACTGGGAACACTACAAAACAATACTTCCTCTATTCCATAAAAATGTTCCACATTTCCTTCTTGGTCCGTCTCAAAAAAAATTTCACTTTTAATTTTTGAAATAGCTTGTGGCTTTTATAATTTCTCTTCTTTGCCTCGTTTTTAACTATACAACTTTATTTTTCTTAATCTCCAAACTTGGTCAATTGTGGAACATTATTGCAAGATGAAAGTAGAATTTTAGTGATACCGCGGAGTATGTTTTTTTGTGCCCCTGAAATTAATTAATTGTAAACTTCTTATATTCAGCAAGAACATGATGGTAAATCATACGGAGTATAAAATATGAGTATCTTTTAGATAGAATATTAATTTCCATCATCTCCGATGGAGCCAAAATTTCACCATTTTTTGGCTTTGGGGTGTGATGGAATAAATCAAAATGGATCTCTAAACTGTCTGCGCTTCTTTAATTAATGAAGTAGCAGTTAGTCAAGCAATGCAACTTTCGACGTTGAGCCGGGGGTCTCTTTGGAAACAGCCTCTCTACTTTCGAGTAGGGACTTTTGTGAGATTTAACTGGGTTGTTGTTGTTGTTGTTTAGATAGAATATTAACATTGTTCACACTTATGAACAATAAATATAGTATTTAAAAAATAAATAAAGACTTAGATACCCGCGCTCATTACCTAATTAATTAACGAACCCTATCAGTTTTCAAACGATAATGCCACATGAGACGTCAAACTTACATCGTTTTAATACATGAGCCCCACCTGAAGTCCTAAGCTCATGCCACTAAAATGCCATGCAACAACTTGAGAGAGATAATTGATGGACAAAAAGAAGAATAAAAAAAAGAGCACTAAACACGGTGTCCAAATCCAAATAACGTTGTTCCACTTAAAAATAAATAAAATACTCCGTATTACAACATTACATTACATTACATTCCGCAGCACCGGGGAGCGGTTTGTTCAATCTTGATCCTCTTCCACAACTTGAAGAAGAAGAAAAACAAAAAAAAAAAGAGATATTTGATGGGGAAGTGTACAGCCAGACCTGATTGCCGCCGCCTATGAAGCATAGGGCTTTGTTTTGTTTATGACAGGGGTGGGGTGAGTTGCACCAGCAAACCACTAGACTCTAGCAGAAACATGAATACGCAAAGTGGTTCTTCTCCGAGACATAGTGAGAAACGTAATTGGTGTGAGAGGCAAAGGATGGAACATCCTCTGACGGAACAAGAATCTGAGTCTTCCCGGAGGCAATCCTCTTGCCAGCCACATTTGCATAGAACAAGCCTGAGATGGCCGGTACAAACACATCGCTCTCTGAGCATATGTACATGTCTATAACCTTCTCCAGCTCCGCAACGTCCAGATACTTTGCCTTTTTATCTATAGGCATTATGCTTTCCTGAAAATTTTTTTTGGTTAGAGAGGATACTAAATGAGAATAGTAATGTCAATGGATATCTTCTTTTTTTTTCACATAAGAACAAATTAAGCAATGACGACTTTATTCATGGATGGATGGAGGGAGCAATTTCTTCGACACTATTTTGTTAGGTGATGGGGAGGAGGGTATAATGACCGAAGAGACCTTACCTTGGTGTAAGTTTTCGGGAAGAACTCCTTCAATGAATCAAGGCTACTATCCCACCGGGCTTGAGTCAAATATATAACTGTGTCCCTCTTAAACCCGAGTTTCGTCAAAAAATCAGCAATCTCCTGTGGACCGTAGCAACTCTTTGCTCCAGGAGACCCACTTTCTTGGCAACTTCTTTTCTCCAAAATGTCTACCCTTAGGTCCACCGCGACGAATTGTCCAATAGACTTCTGACTTAATGTTCTTAATCTCTCGACCATTGAGTCAATTACTTCGCGTACGTCTGGTTGAAGTTCTAAGGTCCCAAACATGCCCAGACAAGCAATTGAGTCTATGTTTTTCTTTTCTGAACTCTTCTTCATATTCACTGAAGGAAAGTAGGTCACAAGTCTTATGTTTCCCTTCTCCCTGAAAACCGGTTCAATGTTTTCTGCAATTTCTTCTTCGGTAGGCCGACTTGGAACCTTAACTACGGCAAGGTTTCTTGCAGAGATCCCAGTCGGCAGAGATGTAGCTACTTTGACTACTCCGTCAAGACTTTTCAAAAACTTTTCAGTACTGTATACATCTTCAAAGCCCCTGAAAATTGAGAAAGTGACCAAACCATCAGATTTTGTCACAAGCGCTTGTGTGACTTGTATCTTCCCCTCATCAAGTGGCCAACAAATACCTCATACATTACCGAAAAAACTACAAATGTAAGCTAATTTGGACTTCACACTTATTTTGCATAAAATACATATTTGGTCCTCCAAATTTGGACCTCATATGGTTTTTGTCTAAAAACTAGAAAATATAACTGTTAAGATTTCATCCATCTCACTGTTAAATACCATGAGGCACTATGTGGCATGTAATAGTTCGAGCAAGAATACAGTATTTGCCATACCTTTTATCACCAGGATCGCTTCCCCGAATATCTGGGAGCACAAGGGTTGCGCGTAGATATCTCGCAACTACTACAGCGTCAGAAATCTGTGAAGAGGATTAGTGGATAACCACCACAGGAAGAGGCAAATCAGTTAGTTGAGTGCAGAGAAAGAAGTTCAGAGATAACTTAGGAGGATGACCAATAGTTTCTGTTTACAGTAGGATTTCTCTCAAGATCTTTTTGGACTCCATTTATATAATTTAGATTTCTGTTAAATGGGCACTCCATTTAAAGGAAATCCTTCATTTTGCCTTGCTTAAGATGAATGCGCACTTGGAAAAGCAATGTTACCGACTAATTCCGTCTAACATGCGATAGAGATAAAAAACAGAAGTTGAACCAATTTAGAAACACGAAGTGGCCACATAAGAGATTTATTGAGAATATGTGGTGATGGTGGATGAAAAAGAATAAGGGACGCCATTGATATGATGAAATGAAACAAAAAGAGAATAAGCATACCTGTGAGATGTGATACTCAGGACCGTTTGTCAATGAGAAGGTAAGATATCCTTGGGATTGACCTTCCTCCTCTATTGGCAGGTTGCAAATGAAAGAAAGACAGAACATTTTTATTTTAATGGTTCAAGAACACAGATAAAATTAAAGCATAGGACTCCCAAATGATACGAAAGTCGCAGTAACTTACCCAAAACCGGTTTACTCCAGCACGGCGTAAGGAATGCATCATCACCTTTCCAAGGTCCATCCCCTCCTGGAAGTGACAGTTCTGAGGTTTTGCTAGTGCCATGAATGCTCACCTTAATATTAAAAATTGGGCAATCGACATGAAAACCGGAACCCTTAAAACTTGCATCACATCAATTCTTGGAGAACAAATAAATTTCCTCTTCAAATTTTTTGTACGGATTTGCAGTAAGAAAAGTCAAGTGAAAGAGAATCAAAGAATCTGCTAGAATGAGTAAGCGCAGCTATGTCCATTCAAAGCTAAACCCATTGTATCCGGCCTATACATTAAATATTGAGCAGGATCCAACCCATCCGGTAATCATTATAAGTTATTGCCATTGGTCACCGTATATATAGCTAAAGCGTATGATCTCTATTGAAATGTGGTAGGAATGGATTGGAATTCTGGATGAGTTTTGAATGGAGCAGAAATATAGGACCACCCAATCCGATCCAATCCCATCCAATCTTTATCCATTTCAAAGCTAGGAATCAAATCACAGCAAGTGCAAGGAAGGAAGTAAAACAGAAAGGCGCGAAGTCAAAACAATCAGAGCAGGAAGAGAGGAAAATGATAGATCGAGAGATTACCGGAGCAGGATCGAAGTGGTCTCTCTTGATCATGTTGCCGAGCATGACGAACATGGTGATAGTCAACACTCCGGCCACCAGCTGTCTCGGATCCACCGCCATTTCTTCTTCAGATCCCAAACTCCTCCTCCTCCTTCTTCTGATCCAATGATTTTATCGGTGCTGGGAATGCCCTATATATCACGGATTCTATCTCTCTCGACTGACTGACTAGTGACTATGAATAATGTATACTGTACTTATAAATTAGGACAATTAAAGGAAGAAGAAAACAAAAAGGAAGGCGGATTCGCTAGTCAGCAGCGTACACCATAATCAATCACCGAGCACAGAAGATATACGTATATTTATATATACGAATAACATGTGCGCGCGAGGGAGGACCGTAGAAAGCTGGATGGATGGAAGCAGAGTGAAGAAGACAAAGAATGGAGCACCGACATTACTCCTATAATGACGACTCGCTGCCCGGGGGGCCGTTGTTTTGGTTGGACTCGACTCTCGTCTTTGGTAGGTGAGTAATTGAGTCAAAACAAACAGTTTACAAAATTTTACAAACTTGCCTTTTTAACACTTTTCTAGAAATAAGATGTCTTCAAATAATAAAAGATATTTTAATTTAAAATCCACAAAAAGCAAGTTTGTGAAGTTTGTGAACTATATGTTTGTGACTTTAGCATTTTCCTGGGTAGGAATAGATCTCAAGGAATCTTTCTTTCACACTCCTTCCTCCCTTTCAACTTTCCAAGGTTGGAAGAATTTGAAAGAAACTAAAAAAAATTGAAAGAAGCTGGAATAAGTTAAAAAAATTGAAAGAAGCTGGAATAAGTTAAAAAAATTAGGAGAAATTAGAAAGTGTTGGAAGATTTAAAGTGTCAAAAATTCATTCAAATAAAGATACAACAAAGCTTAAATTTTGAATTTAAAAAAATTATTATTATTTGTGTTTGAATGGTATGTTATAAATTTAGATATGCAATGTTATTGTATATTCATCATACATAAATGCTTTTTAAGTCGTTAAGAAAAAATTGGATGAAGTTAGAAGAAATTGGAAAGTGTTGAAAGAAATTAGAAGAATTGGAAAAGTTCATTTTCTAACTCAAAAGAACATGACCTAAGTCTCAGTAGTGCGCTTCCCTTTTACTTGGTTTATTACGTACTAAAATTATTCTTAATTTATTTATTTGTAAAATTTAATAATAAAATTAATATATTTAAAAAACTAAACTAAAAGTATTAGAAGATAAAAACGAAAAGAATATTTTATTTTATATAATCAATGAAAATATGTAAATAACGAAAAAATGATTTGACTGTAAGAATAGCAAGAATGTTATTTTGAGACGGAGTGTCTCTTTTTTTTTTTATAATCTCTGTAACGCTCTAGAAACCGGTCAAGCAGTTAATCATTATTTTAAATAAATAAGTATTAGTTATTTATGAGAAAGTAATTCTCTTAAAGAATTAGAAGTTATTTTTGATACATTAATAGTCCACATGTGGTTTATATCATGTGTCAGATTTAACTAAATTAGAATAAATATCATATTTAGCGAGTCTGTCAGTATTACTTAGTCGAGAGAATTAATTAACTGTGATGACAGATGGTAGTATTACTTTTTTCCAAATTAGAATAACTATAATTTTTTCTCCATATAAGACTTTTTTCTTTTTAGCATCCAAATATACCCATTTAGCTTATGAATGCTTCTATGGTGCACCTTGGGTGCATACCATTTTTGTAGACTTTTTCACATAA